TGGGACAGCAAAGCGCATAGACCGTTTTTTGCCATTTAACCAGCTCCTCAGACTTGAAGCACATGTATTACAGCAGATGTGGGGTGCCCACTGTTTGTCTTGATCACCTAGTTTACAACCGAAATAAAGCTGATATGCCTTTGTTATTAGTGGAGTAATAGACCGTCTCTGAGACGCAAAAGTCACATCACCACACACGTAACAAAACTGATCTGGATTGTTTACACACTTTCGAGACATCTTGCATGAACGCTGTCAGCCAACTGAGGAAAAAATGGCTAATATAAAACAATATAATGTACACGTGTGTATAACGTAACACAATCATGCCGATTACATCATCTTTCCTTGCCGAATATAAAAATGTAGCACGTGCATTCTTGTGAATTACAGTATATTAACACTGTCACAGCAGGAACACATATAATTACCGTATCTCTAAAACTTGAACTAATATTGAAAAAATAAGTTTCATTCCGGTTTTAAAAATAGTAATATTTTGTTGATTTTATTTAGGATATTTTTTGGCTGTTGATCAGTGTTATCACCTTTTTTTGTCTCTTGACAACTGTATCAGGCACCGACAGTTCACAACTCGAGATGGTGTAATAAATGCAGTCCGCCAATTTGTTACTCCAAATCCACGGAGTTCTGCAATACCGGCATACAAAAATTGGTTCCACGTTGGCAAAAGGTGTTGGTAATTACTTCGACGAATAAATAGTGTCTTATTGTTTCTCAATAAAAATTTATATTTTTATACTAAAAACCGCACGAACTTACTTGGTTACCATGCAATCGTGTTTGTCATGTAAAGAAATTTTTGTAATGAATTTCGTACGAAATCATGCGCAGTCGGTAGAAAAAAAACTGTAACTGTCAAGGTCGAACTGCAATTTATCACGTCAAACCACACTTTTCGTTGCTGCTTGCTACCTTATTACTTTGAACAAATGAAAAATTATAGAAAATTTAGCTGCCCACCTCATGAAAATGGAGTGACCGGGGAATGGGTGTGCTCCAAATGCTGATTAAAGAACCTTTAGTAGAGGACACAAGCTTATAGGTTTAGTTGAATTTATAGGCCTTGCTTTTCACAGCATCATATTTCTCATACTCGTTTAGTATGATGTCACACTGCTCTTTTGACTATGACATCTTTTAAGGAACTGATGCACACAACTGATCACAACAACTGATGAAAGTGGTTGATGTTAGGCCTTAATAGAGAATTAGCAATGCAACTTTATAAAGATCAATAAGAATGCGATTTTGAAGTGATAGACCCTACAACTTCAATATGAAACTTTTTTTAAACGGTCATACAAAAAAATTAATATTTGTCGCGAAGTCCATGTCACTAATTTCCGTCTGACTATCCGTCGGGCTGTATATCCACTATTCCTTTGCACCCTTATAACTAGGAAAGTGCCGCACCGTTTCTCAGCAAGTACTCTCAAAAGATTCTGGATGTATACCTTTATCACATCCACTACTGGATGTCTAGTGATAAATTAATCAAAGCTGCCTGAAACATATCCATTCTGCTAGCATGTTTTTTGTATTCCTATATAGTAATTTTTTTGCTAGTATCTTTCTGGCAACACTGTTTTTGACAGATGACGCGAGAATCGTGTCTTGTGTCATTGTCAAACTTGTTCAGTTTGGTCTATAATTTAACCATGAATCGACTTACGAACGAACAACGCTTGCAAATTATTGAATTTCACTATCAAAATTCATGCACGGTTAAGAGAGTGCATCGAGCACTGCTTCCAATTTATGGTCAATTTGGTCGGCCTACTGAGGGAGCTATTCGGAAGCTTGTGACTAAATTTCGAACCCAGACATAGAGTGAGGACTGAAGAAAATATTGCGGCTGTATCCGCCAGTGTTAGTGATGACCATGAACTGTCGATTCGCCGCCGTTTGCAGCAATTGGGCCTCTGTTACTCCACTACGAGGAAAATTTTGCGACAGGATTTGGGTGTAAAACCTTATAAGATACATCTGGTGCAAGAATTGAAGCCACAACGTTTCCCATTTGGTGAATGGGCGCTGGCAAAGTTGGGGGAAGATCCACATTTTTATCGACAAATTGTGTTCAGCGACGAAGCTCATTTCTGGTTGAATCGGTACGTTAGCAAGCAAAATTGCCGCATCTGGAGTGAAGACCAGCCAGAAGCATTGCAAGAGCTATCAATGCATCCCGAAAAAATCACTGTTTGGTGTGGATTATGGGCCGGTGGCATCATCGCGAAGTACTTCTTCAAAGACGACAATGGCCGGAACGTAACTGTGAATGGCGAGCGCTACCGTGCGATGATAACAAACTTTTTTTCGCCCAAAATGGAAGAGCTGAACTTGGCTGACATGTGGTTTCAGCAAGACAGTGCCACATGCCACACCGCACACGAAACAATGGCCCTATTGAGAGGCCAGTTCGGTGAACAGTTTATCTCACGTTTGGGGCCCGTCAACTGGCCGCCTAGATCGTGTGATTTAACGCCGTTGGACTATTTCATGTTAAGGATAAACCAGCAACGATTGACGCACTGGAAGCCAGTATTGAAGCATTTATTCGTGAGATACCGGCCGATATGTTGGAGAGAGTGTGCCAAAATTGGACCTTGCGCATGGGCCATCTAAAGCGGAACCGCGGCCAACATTTACATGAAATAATCTTTGAACATTAAATTATATCGACCGTTCTATCGACTCAAATAAAGATTTAATCGTTTTTTCAAATTTTTTGCGTTTTTTTTTTGAAAATCAAATCCTATACCTCTTAAAAGATCACCGTAAGCAATGTCTCTTTCAAACTCACAAAAATTCAATATATGTTATGACCCACAGATGTTTCTCGACCGATCTAAAGTCTCCGGTACTGCCGTGCCCCGGAGCCCCACGAAACAAGATCAAACAAAAGCAACGGTGTCTCCATTTTTACGCGAAACTTTCAGGCATACCTCAAAGCGAACTGCAATTACGCCTCGTATTTCAGCTCAAAGTCCTTGCATTAAAACATCAACGGCAAGGTGGGAGATAAGAAGTGATGATTTAGAAACGTGCTGCCCCGGATTGAACAACAGAGTTTACAGATTACGAATAGGGTCAATGGCGGGAGAACCTTTCATGTTCAGATTTCAGACAGCGAAGGCAGTAGCGCCTACGTGGACGTCGCAAGGAAGTTATGGGAATACGCTTTTTTTGGGCAATTGGGCAATTCTATTTTCAAAAGAAATGGAGCCCAGGAGCGCCAACTCAAGAAAAGCTTCCATATGTAGAAAGAAGAAACCGCGAATTGAAAATTTGAGTATGTCGTCTTGTAGATGAGAAAAAGTGGCAATGACAACATGAAATCCCATCTCAAATAGAGTCAGGAAAAAATAAAAATCATTTTGCGATAAATCTGGCATTATATTTTTCTTAATTATAACATATAAGGTTTGTCAATGTCAATGTATGACTTGTTAAACATTTTTTGAATCAGAATTAAAAACTCTATTTACCTCTGCAAAAACCGCATATGACGACATTAAAAAAAGTTGACGCTGGAGGATAAGAGACGAAACGTCATATTGTAATTCTAATTATGCCATCTTGTATAGAACAAAAAGTGACAATGTCAATATGTGCAATTTGTTTTAAAATCCCACTACAAATAAAGTCAGGAAAAAATTATATATTTGGTATATCCCACTTGCAATCCAAGAAGGGCTGTTACCTTTAAATCTACACATATGGCTCATCCATATTCATTATAACGGATATGCTCTAACAGAGCTCGCATATTTTCATATGATTCCTTCATATAAACTGCGTGCGCTATAGGTACAGATGGATATTTATTACCATTGTGTACCAATACTGCTTTTAAACTAAACTTAGAGGAATCAATGAACAGGCGCAAAGCATTTGGATCATGTTTCTGTCCTAACGTGTCAAACAAATTGTTGACATAGGAGCAATATACCAACTCCCTTTCTTGACGGAAACAGTGTGTGAGGTTTTCGGTAAAAAGTAATGTTAACATCGCCGTGGAGAAGATGCTATCCTTTTAATCTTGACGCTAAAAGTTCTGACTGGAATTTTGTGTGATCAAATGGGGCGCTGTTGAACATCCTGGCAGGTCGGAAATTTCTACGCTTTCTGTACCATCACTTACGGAACCGGTGGATTCGACTTTTTCATCCAAAGACCAAGATTTTCGTGAAACTGGGACAGAAAGCTCATCACTATGTTTAACGGGCCGCAAAGCTGATAGTACATTAAAATACTTAACAGTATGTTTCGATTTTGGTCCAATACATATATTTGTGAGGCAAAAATAGCAATCAGTAGTATGGTCTCTCGGTTCTCTCCAAACCATTGGTACCGCAAAGGGCATTTTACGATTGTCGCCTTTTAACCAACCTGTCAACAACGTTACACAACTCTTACAACATATGTGAGGGGCCCATAGTCTATCTTGGTCGACAACTTTGATTCCAAAATAAAGTTCGTATGCTTTCAACACAAGGGGAGTAAAAGTACATTTTTGGGATTTAAAAGTTAGCTCCCCGCACACATAAGAACTGTTCGCACTATTTACGCAATTTCTAGGCATTGTCCATAAAGCATTTTAACAAAAATTAACAATACTCATCTCGGTACTCTTTAACACAGAAAACGTAACTGACTCGGCTGCTATGCGTCTACTAATGAACGCAATATGTTCTCTAAACATACAGGAATAGACAGGTCATAACATTATATATGTGTTCTCAAAATACACAGGATACACCCAAAAATTGCCATTTCACAAATCCTGTGCAATTGTTACTTCGGAGGTGTCACTAATGATTCCGTTAATAATAACCAATACAGCCCAATCTCCTTTGGAACAAACTCAGATTTTCGTTTTGGAGTTACGATGATATAACTTTGACTTGCGAAAGCGGAATGAAAATAAACTAACTCTTTCGATGATTTCTAATAATGCTTTTATTCATTTTCAGATGAAAACGAATGTAAATATCGACCATGCGACGTGTTTGCTCACTGTACCAACACTTTGGGTAGTTTTCACTGCACCTGCTTTCCTGGATATGTTGGAGATGGGTTTCACTGCGAAGGTAAGTTTATTTTGTATAACTAGAATAACATTAACGCGCTTGTCAAGAAGTTGTTCGAAAATCATACGAAAATACTAAACCTCAGTACCGCAACCATTATGTGGGCATTTGCGAGGATTTAGGTTCTGTCAATTAATGAACAAATCAGTCAATTCGGCAGCTCGAATATGTTTTTGTACTACTTCAATATGTTGCCACACCTCGAGGTGAATTTGAACTAAGGCCCGTCAGACGACTTTTCGTTCTCAAGAATCAGGGTTTGGGACTTCAGTATAGCTTCGATGTAATAATAATAATATACAGGGTGGCGCATCGAAAACGAAACAGACGCATTTACTGGCAGCTCAGTTTTTTTTTTGAAATACGCTCAGACCTGTCGATTTTTTTTTCGAGGGGGACACAAGTTTGGCAAAAAATCACGTTAACACGTGCAGCCCCCTAAGCGGGGGTGACACCAACCCTAAAATCTTAAATGGAAAGGGGGGTCGAGTGATACCTTATTTTAAAGGTCTTTTAATTCCCTTTATAGTGATGTAAAATACATGAGCTTCAGTTCAGTAGTTTTGAAGATTTATTGATTTAAAGCTTAAAGTAGTCTTTAATAGGTACATCAGATTAGTTTGTACTACTTTCAGAAGAAATTTGACTAATTTAAAAATGAAGAATGGACTGACCCGTTAGGCAAGTAAATGTTGAAAATGGCCATCATGACTCTCCATGCAATAATAAAGATTTTGCTCAAAACGTTGCCGCACATTTTGCAATATTTGAGGGGTAATTTGAAGGCACTCATTCACAATTCTTTGTCGCAGGTTTTCTTATGATGTTGGCTGAGTAGCATAGATTTTGCTTTTTAAATGACCCCACATAAAGAAATCCAAAGGTGATAAATCTGGCGATCTTGGGAATCATTCAATGGCACCTCTTCTACCAATTCATCGATCTGGAATTGTCTGATCTAAATATTGTCGAACACGTAATGCGTAATGTGGTGGGGCACCATGTATTTTACATCATTATAAAGGGAATTGAAATACCTTTAAAATAAGGTATCACTCGACCCCCCTTTCCATTTAAGATTTTAGGGTTGGTGTCACCCCTGCCCAGGGGGCTGCACGTGTTAGCGTGACTTTTTGCCAAACTTGTGTCCCCCCTCTAAAACAAAATCGACGGGTCTGAGCGTTTTTCCAAAAAAAAAACTGAGCTGCCAGTAAATGTGTCTGTTTCGTGTTCGATGCGCCACCCTGTATAATAATAATCGTCTTTATTATTTTTTTAACTGGCAAAAAAGTTATACAAAAACAAAATAAAAATGTGAAACTACAAAGATTAAGCCACAAAACAATAGAATGAATAATGACAATTTAGATAATATTATATGAAGAAATAACTGGAGCTGAATTGTGGAAATGAGGTAATAGAATCACAGAGAGGAAATGGGGGTGTTTCTCTTACTTTTCAGGGCACTACACATCTGAATACTGCTAGAAGAGTCTCTTTCCAAGTCATTTTCGGTAAGAAAGATCCAGAAGTCTCACCGTCTCATTTCCAGAGGCGGAGTTAATCTTGCATTGGAATAATAATAATAATAATAATCGTCTTTATTTAAACTGTACTTCATACAGAAACAAGAGTTGCATATGGTGGCGAAGTTTAGCAACATGCTACTCTTACACTTAACCACCCATGCAAAAAAAAACAAGTTGTTCAGTAGCAGATATCAAACAAAATATACATATATACATACACATGTACATACATACATACATCTACACACATTACATACGTACATGTTGCACCAAGGTTTGCTACATGTACACAAGGGAAGTGAAGAATCATTTAACAATATATCTATAGCAATCTAATTAAGACTATGGATCCAAGTAAATATGAGATTTGACAGCTTTCTTGAAGCAATTTAAGGACATGGTTTTGAATTCAGGACTCAAGGCATTGTATAACACTGAAGCCCTGTACGTGAAAGAACGCTGGAATAAAGTTGTGGAGTGAATAGGTGTAGTTATCAAATCTGGAAATCTAATATGTCTATGATGAATATTTCGCCTAAAGATCAGCTTTTCTCTTAAGTATATAGGTTTTGACATAAGTATTAGTTTATGAATAAAAACAAGGTAATGATATTTGACAATATTTTTTGTTATCATCCAGTTTAATTCAATAAGACTACCAGAAACATGGTCAAAGCGCCTTAAACCGCAGATGAACCTAGCACAATTGTTTTGCACAATTTGAATCCGATTTCTAGTAAAAACATTGAGACACGGATAATATAAAATATCACAGTAGTTGAAAATCGGCATAACCAAAGATGAACACAGTTTTTTCCTTAGCTTATAATTGAAAATTGCTTTATTGGCATATAATGATCTCAGTCTCAAGTAGGTTTTCTTCAAAAGATTTTTAACATTACTGGTGAATCTAAGTTTGAAATCGCCAAGAATTTTAACCTCGTCAACCGGGTACAGTCTTTGAGATCCAATTTTAATAGTTAATCGACTTTTAATTTCTTCTCTCCTACAATCCGAACAAAAAAATAACAGGCTGGATTTACCAGGATTTATTGACAGGTTGTGGTTATTCGAGAAGTCATACACTTTTTGAATATCATGGTTTATTGATGTCTGTGCCATTTCCATATCATCAGTATCAAAATAATGGACCGGTTGAGTATCATCCGCAAAAGACTGGAGTTCACAAAAACTCACAGCCTTAGGCAGATCAGCAATATATATCAAAAACAACAAGGGACCCAAAACAGACCCCTGGGGTACTAAAGACGAGATTTCTAGAAAACTAGATTTATTGTTTTCAACTGATACACACTGCGATCGATTTGATATATAATTTCGAAAAAAATTCAATGCAATTGGATCTATGCCATAATACTTCAACTTTGCTATTAACAACTCATGATTTATTTTGTCAAATGCCTTGGAATAATCGATTGACATCACTGCTACGCCCATTTTTTTATCAAGTGCTCTAATAATATTATCCACTAAGTTTAAGAGGGAAGTAGTAGTACTGAAAGATTTCCTAAAAGCAGACTGATCAGATGGGATGATATGTTCCTCTGCATAATGCATTAGTTGTATGTGGGCTGCCTTTTCAACTACCTTCGATAAACAAGGCAACAGGCTTATAGGCCTTAGATCAGCAAACTCATCTGGATTTGATTTTTTTGGAACTGCTACCACAATTGCTCGCTTCCACGTTTCAGGGAAATAACCTCTTTCAAGGCAACTATTAACAAGGTGGGTGATGTAGATGAGAGTAACAGGCAGACTGAGCTTAATCATAGACAAGCTCAACCCATCAGTACCTTTTGCATCGGACTTAAAACTAGATATTATTTCAGCTACTTCATGAGGCTCTAGAAGCCTGAAAGAAAATTTATTAATATGGGGAACAGTTTCGTTATAATACCTTAAAACGTGATCAGGAGCATTTGTGGAATCAAAAACTGATATGAAATAATTATTTGCAAGGAACGAGTCTGCAAGATGGTTTGGAATACGTGGCTTATCAGATGTTTGTGCTTTCATATTTTTCAATTCATACCACAATTTTTTCTGATCACGCCCTTTTACCAAGTGAGCAAGATACGCCATTTTTTCATGTCTAATGCACGATAGTGCAAGGTTTCTAAGTTCCCTAAAAACCTGCAATCTTGCTGGACTTCTGTCTATCTTGTATAAATGATATGCTCTCGTTTTTTGCTTCAGAAGCTGTCTCAACGGATATGACAACCACGGCGCTTTCGGCTTACTCACGCGTACCGTCCTTATAGGAGAGTGACGATTGAAGATGTCAATTAACTTCCTACTGAAAAATTGAACTTTATCATCAATATTCCTGAATGCTTAACGACTTTAATATCTCATTTATACATTATTTTGCCGAAAACGGTTGCATTCACAACTTTATTTAACAAATTTCGACAGCTGTCAGAATTTGGAATCATCCTTCAGCCCCCTTTCTCTCAGTGATTCTGCTATCTCGTTTTCAAGAATAGGGTTCCTGGTGTAAGCAACTGAAGGACCTAGTGCTTGGGATTATCGACATGCAATATTTATGGTGGTCACATGAATTTAGAAATAATAGTAATAATGATATAGTTGTAGCCAACGTTCTTGGCGGTTACGCCATCAACGCCATAGGAAATAAGTAAACAACTCGAGTCTCCGTACCATGGGCGCAGCCTAATCTGTACCGCATCTGCTACTCTCTCCAGTATGCATGAAGTGAGTAGCAGGGGACCGCTGTTTCGATTCTCTTCCTGGAAATACTCTAACAAATTTGGCACAAGCTGTCGGCCTTCTCCATTGATCGTCTTTCCGGACATTGTAAAATTTTATATTGAAGATCACAAGACGACAAGAATTGAACGCTGATGCCAAGTATAGCAAGTTGTCACTCTGACAAATATGACTGAAGGGCACTCATAAAAATTTTAATGCGGTTGAAATAATAAATGGACCTAGAGTAAGAAGAAACTGGGTTCGTCGTAAAGAAGCTGGTATGGAAAGTAAAGGACGACATTTTGAACACCTTCTTTAAATACAAAAAAAGTGCAGTATGGGCCTTAAAAAGAAAAACAATGTATGTATCCGTTTTTTCTTTAACTGTTCGCATTTTACGAGTACATTATCAAATAATGAAATAATACCTAAGAGCCAAAAATAACAAACTCCATCTTTATTTACACTACGTTTCGTCGTAATTTGCGTCTGGCATTGCGGCGTTGTCAGTTTTTATTTTACGTTAAAGTCGCTTTTCTCTAAAAAATTCTAAATTATCAGTGGTGAATTTTCCAAGCAATACATACTCAATGTCAAATTGATTAAATGAATATTCAATTATATTAAGTAGAGTCAGCGTGCTTTGATATAGAGCTGTATACGTTTCTGGTGTCAGGTGTCCATTATTATTCTCTAGATTATGCCATTTTTCTAACCATATCAGGAATTTTTTTAAAAATTGTACTCTATAATCATATTTATTAGTAATAGGCTTACAAAATTCGTTTCGCTTCAATTCTCCTTTTATTACACTTG